GTTATATGAGATATCTTAAGACACACAGAGTGTTAGACACTCTAGCGATGTTAGCATTAAGGATCCGTAGAGTAAGTAGCAGTAAGAAGTTTATGCATACTTAACTGAAATAAATTATGTTCAAATGATAAAATTTGTATATAATGGGAATGTAAACACTCTTTACTTTCAGTTGAATTAATTGATTGAAAACTTTCAGAATTGTTCATCAGTGGTTTGGGAAAAATAGTGTTCAAGTTTTGGAGTGCAAGGCACAATCCTCAGATCTAAGCCTTACAGGAAATCGTGGAGAGGAAACCGAATGTCGCATCTAATGTTACCAAATAAACAAGCCTTGAAAATTATTAAGTTTGTACAATCTTTCACAATATGTCAAAAGTTTATTGCGCAATGCCGGGTCGTTTTGAACAAGTAATTAACAAAAATGGGTATGCTATTCATTCCTAAAACTTTTGAATGTTTTTGTTCTCAAATGTATTAATTATTTTTTTCTTGAAACAAACCTATTGAGTGCAATTTTTTGCTCTTGTCTTGTCGCCTCTATTCTCATCGTTTTTTGGTTCGACAACTTACAACGTAAATTCCATAAGTCAGCAAATTTGCGAATAATTTAGCAAAAGTAATACAATATATGCTTAAATATATAAGACAAAGTTATTTTAAAGGCGCCGAATAAATGATACTGAAACAAAATTTATAAATGTTGATCCTGGAAGAACAATTAGTAAAACTGACATCACCTAACAAGATAAAAAGCTGAAGATGACCGACTTTCATTCCTGCCAATAGAATAAGACCACTACAGATATTTAGAAGCGGAATGTAAACCGGATTCAAACAAATTATTGAAAATGAGATAACTCTCTAAAAAATTTGGAAATAACATGAACTGTGTCGTAATAGGACATGTGTAATCCGTTCGAAGAACAGTACCTAACCCACTATTGTTTCGGGATAAACCCGTGTGGGGTTGCTAATCCCTCATCGAGCGCCTCTTCAGGTGGCGGATAGGGCAATGCCTTCCAGATATGGGGAATGCAGGGGAAATCAAATACCCGGGGCGGCTGAAAACTAATAGCAGCGTCTGACCCAGAGTGGGCGGCTGCAAACATAGTTTGTTCTCCATGTTACGAGAGGCTGATAGAACCATTCGGCAACCCGCTTAACCGCCAAAACTTCTCAAAAATTTTAATGTCGAACTTTAAAACAGGACTATCCCAGGTGAGTATAGTCCAAGACTCAAAATCTCATCCTGAATATTCAGTCAGCTGCAGGAATTCTGGGGGGAGCCAAAGTTCGAGAAAGGGACCACGGGGGAAAAAACCCCTAAAACGCATTAAACCTTTGTATATTACAACTTATAACATAAGAACATTATCAACTATAGACCAACTCAAGGAGTTCGAAGAAGAACTCAACCACATAAAGTGGAAAATTATTAGAATTTGCGAAACTGAACTGCCCGGGAAAAAAGGACACTGTTTTCGATTAGTTGTTTTTTGTGTGTAACTCAAGTGTACAACGCATTGAAGTGTCCCCAGTAAGAAATGAGTTTGATGTGGTAAAATTGTCACCTTGTTGGAAGAAGGGTATTCACAACGTGAGGTTGCCCGAAGATTAGGCGTTTATCAGACTTCGATTAGGTCGATGTCTTCAGCGTTTTAGGGAAACAGGTTGTCATGCAAGACGAATAGGGCAAGGTCCACCCCATGATCCACAAACCAAGGTGACGATCCTTTTATACAACTGCAAGCTTTAAGAATTCGATTTCTTACCGGATATGAGATAAAAATAAACTCAAAATGCCCGAAATGTTGCATTTTCTCCGACAACGGTAAGGAGAAAGCTCAATGAATCCGGATTGAGTGCAAAACATCCCGTAAAAGGTCTTCTCTCACCAAACGCTTTAAAGCAAGCTAGGCTTGAGTTTGCTTGGAAACACGTGGATTGAGCTTTGGAAAAAAGTCTTGTTTTCTGATGTCGTTAGAGTGGGTTTAAAATCTTCCGATGAGCGAGCTTTTATTTAGAGAAGACCAGGAGAAAGATACAGCCAAGCATGCATGTTGCCCCAACTGACTTTCACTGGTGACTCAATAATGTTTTGGGGTACTATTTATTTGAAAGCCCTTACGGATCTTGTAGTGATCCGAGGAAAATTTTTAAGAGATTTTAGAAATTCATGTTGTACCTTTTGCACCTCAGCATCAGAGACAATTTTCTGTTTATATATGATAATGCGCCCGATAATGTACCAAGCTCCGATCGTGCGCAACTACCATAATGAGGTTGGCATTCAACGTTTAGTATGACCAGCGCGTAGTGCTGACCCTGCTTGTTTGGGATCAGTTCAAACGACGTGTTCGACAACAAGATTGTACTCCTGAGCACTTGGCTGAGTCGGAAAACGCAATTCTTCAAGAATGGCACATCATACCCCAAGAATTGGTTACAAACCGTTTTTATGCCATTCCAAGACGTTTGTAGGAAGTTATTCGAACTAAGGACCGCAATACACACTATTAAAACTATTAACGATATACGAAAACGTATTTTTAATCAATTTTCACAACAAATCTGATGAACTAGGAATTCGTGTTTTGTTTAATTTTTTTTCGACATCCTTCTTAAATTAATTTAATAAACAATTAAGCTTTTCAGTTTTGATAAACGTTTGTTGGATTAATAATATTTATATTTTTTTTATTTGCAGATATATTATAGGTGCGCTAATCTTGTGAATTAGTGAAGTAAGTTGGCTATATAGGTCACTCCAGTAGCTTCGTGCAGTTCGGTTATTCTGATGTATCTGTCCGTCGATAAGACGCCTCTCAGGAGCCTCTTTCGGGTCCTTTAAACACGACGGCTTGTGGAATTACTGCCAGAAAGATCCGTATGGGCCTTATCGTCGAGGTGTAAAACAGAAGTTTGTTTTGAGGTGATCGAAATGAATTTGACGTCAAAAGAGAGTATAACTTTCTTTCGGCCATGAAGGTCTTTTGTATAGAATAGTCAACATGCCTATTGAAATGAAGTCGGGCGTCTAGGTTGAGACCTAGGTATTTCACCTCTTGTACTAGTTCGATTGGAGTATTTTGCATCATGACTGGCGATAGGATTTTATTGTTAGTGAATTTGCGTGAAAAGACTAAAAGTTCAGTCTTCCTGGAATTCACTTTAAGTTTCCATTTATCACACAATCACACAGGTGATGTGCAATGCGAGATTTTGCAGCCTGAGCATAAAGCATAAAGACAATGTGTATATAGGCGTATCATCAGCGGATTATGGAATTTTGGTAATGGGAAGTTTTGGAATGTCTGCTGTAGACAATATATATCGTAAGCAACCTGGGAAAACGGAGCAACCACGGCGAGAGCGGCAACACAGCTTTTCCAAGGCACCACTAGTACTATGCGGGCCTCCTGAAGAAAATACTGGCGCGGAAGAAGGTGGATAATGAGTCAATAGGTCATTATTATTACGCGAAGCTCGGGCTGATTGAGAGATTTATGCCTTGTTGATGGACTTCCCCAAGGCATTTGGGAAACTGTCAGGGTATTTGGAGGCACAGGAATTGGTGTCGGCATTAACTCAGGCTGTGGTTGATAAGTTCGTGAGGACGGAATGCAAGACGATAGAAAAGTTATGGGAGTGTTTGGTGAATTTGGATATCCAAGGTGATTGATTTTTGACCGTGATCTGGCTTTCACTAGTAAAGCGTTTGCTAGTTATTTGGTAAAAAAGGGGGTGATACATGTGCTAAACGCGATGCAACTCCTAGGGTGAATGGTCAGGTAGAAATACAGAATCGGATATTGTTGAATGCAATTGAGACTAGTGCAGAATCCGAGGCGCTTGGGGATGAAAAGCATCCTGAGATTGTATGGGGCATGAATCAGACCGTGAACAATAGCTCAAAATTTTCACTTGCTCAGCGCATTCTTGCACATAACTGGCGTGAATGCAGCATTAAGTGGGGGAGGTCCATGACGATAATGTAGAGAAAGGAGAAAGCGAGTTATGAATGAGGCGTTACTTCACAAGCGACTGAAAACCTGACCAAGGCGAGTTGAGCCATGAAAGCTAAATACGATCGTAGGTGTAAGGCCTAAGGTAACTAGTTACAAGATGGGCGATTTGGTGTAACGCGGCTCCTTGTTCTAATGAAGTAGATGTGAATCGGAAACTCATTAACAAGTATGTCCCCTACCATGTGGCAAAAGTAATTGGTAATGACCGTTACTTAATCATCGTGGTGGCACTCGACTCTTAAAGGCGATACAGTAGTACTACTGGCAATGATAGCAAAAGTGGCGAATGAGATTTTGTTGGCTAGGTTACGGATCGACATTATCTGATTGATCTTTTGGAGGGTGAGTTATTAATGAGAACATTTATTTTTGCCGGATGGCTGAATGTAAGCAACCCGGGAAAACGGAGCAACCACGGAGAGAGCGGCAACACTGGTAAGCGGGACACACCCAGGACGGGAGTGGCAACATCGGGGCTACTTCATGGCTGGGACAGGAGACGCCACGGCGGTACTTCCGGGCAACAACACGGAACATCCCTGGGGGGATATTCTGTGGGGAAAAACAACTGATGGGGTTGCCAAGGGATTATTTATTATTGATTTGGCTGTGGACCGTGCAAGGCGTTCAGTAAAATTATTGAATGTTGCATCGATCGTATACTTCCTTAAATTTAACCCTAACAATATATAGAAACTGCTGCCGCGATGTGTCTTTTGGCAGAAATTCTTCACTCTCACCCGGATGGTACGGTTTTTAAGTAAGAAACCATAAGAGAAACTAAGGAGAGTGGCAGTGAATGCACCGCAAAAAAGCTGTATAGACGGCCTGTGTGCCAAACTGTATCTAAGGCATGAAAAGGGTCCTCAACATCAACATCGACATCGAGAAGCAGCATTACCATATTCTGAAGCTTATTAAATGCTCCATAGGCACCTGTTACGATTCTAGGAGTCTGCAGCCGTGGTGTTGTAATCCGAGATTAAGCTTCGAAGCTCGGCTACTGCCTCCTATCCAGAAAGGATAACTTTCTCGTCTGATTTGAGTTGGGAGTTCAGAAAGGATATTGGCGTATAAAAGGCATAAAGGCAAAAGAGTGTTGTGTTTACCCGGCTTTGCGCTAGGAAATATGACAGCGTTTTTTCAGTCCTGTGGGAAATGCTGCATTTAAGAACTGCGTTGACTATTTGTACTATTAGCATAATGGTTTCCGCGGAACGTTTTTAAGGTGCAAAAAAGGAATGCCGTTTGGCCCTCGGGATTTTCGGCTAGGGAGACTGCCAAAACACGAGTTAATTTCCGATGGGATTGCTATCAAGGAATGCAAATTCGGGGATGGCATAGGAAACTTCCGTCCTACAAAAACAGCGGTCTGTCGTACGATGTCGTCATCCTGAGGGGTTATTAGTACATGAATAAGTCACAACGCCACGGAACTACAAGAGATGCTAAATGAATTAAACCTAGCATCTATAAATGTTGGACTAAATATGAATTATAACAAAACGAAAATAGTGATCTCCGAAGACCCTAATAGATCGATCCAAACTATTAATATACAATGTGTAACTGAATACATATACTTGGGTCACAATATTAAATTAGGGAAAGAAAATTATCCAGCGGAAAACACAAGGCGCAGAAGATTTACATGGGCAGCTATCGGTAAACTTGGACATATTCTAAAAAACAACATGATCCCTATAATTCGAAAACTAAAAGTATATAATACTTGTGTACTGCCAGGACAAACATGCGGATTGGACTCAATTGCCCTAACAAAAACATTTGCAAACAAGCTTGTAACAACAAAGAACAATAGGAAGATGCATATTAAGCATATCACTTTGTGGCAAGATTATAAATGAAAATATCAGCACAAACTAAAGTTACCGATAGAATAAAAGAGGTGGCTAAGATTAAACGGCAATTGGCCGGTCACATAGCTAGGCCAGGCTAGATAAAGACAGATGGGCCTATAAAATGAGAAATTGGAGGCGTAGACCGAATAAGCGTAGTACAGGACGCCGGCAGAAACGATGGGTGGACGACATCAGGAAAGTGGCAGGCAAATATTGATTAAACGTAGCACAAGACAGGGAGACATGCAAACAGATGAGAGATACCTATACCCAGGAGTGGATAGCGGTGGGTTAAGAATGATGATGAATCGGCTAGAAAAATTTGACCGGTGTTAGAAACATAAAAACTGATGTTTCGGGTTTGCCATCCGTTATAATATACGATTTATTTCTGAAGTTTCGCAAGATTGACTGTTTAGAAGTGAGTACCCGAAAGCCTACCTGAACTCATAAAGAGGTTTCAAGCAACGACGTCTGAAAATGCAAGCTATTCGAGCTTGCAAACCTTCAAGAAGAAATTCTCTTTCACGACGAACCAAAAACCCGAAAAACTCTCCAGCTTCAAGGAATTGCCCCCAAGCCTCATTTACGTTGATACAGTTAACTTATGTGTTTAGTTTTTAGTGTTCAGTTCGTAACCACTGCCTTACAAGTTTACCGCTGCCACTGTAGATTACCGTCCAAGTATTAACCCCAGTATTAAGATCATTTGCTGTTGTTTGTGATCAAAATGCTGTTAAATCACTTTAAATCATGATAAATGGCACAAGAGAAAAGAACTGTGTTCCTTCCGATATTAGAAACAACAGGAAATAGTACATTTTAATTTTCACTGCTTTATTCTCTGACCGTAAACGTATTGATGATACTGTTCATGTGGCAATTTCAATTATCAGTGATTGCGTGTGGCTGACATTTGCATTTAAACATTCGAGCACAGTGGTCGTTCTGTGACAACTAGGAAATAATATAAATTAGAACATACCGACGGCCTCATCCGCACCGACTGTCGATACCACTTTTCCGCATCTTCGTGTCGTCCCGCTTTGCGCATAGCTGTCGCGGCAGCTACGGCAAGCTCGAAATCATCTATGGACAGCTCTGCTGCACGTTCATACATGTTGGCTGCCTCTTTGTAACGTCGATTTATGACAAGAAATGCGCCTGAAAGAAATTAATGAATTGATAAAAAAATATATTACAGTACTATGGGGGTCTATTAAAGATTAAGGGTACAAAATTTCTAGCATGTATGTTTTTATTTATTTACATATGTAATTATTTTCAATGTCATCAGCATTTTCAATTACTCTGTCGATTCAGCTTTATACCAAAACAGATGGCATTCCTTTATAGTCTTTGATTAAGATATTTGCAAAAAACTAACTGCTCACTAATATACAGGGTCTTTTTAAATATTTCGGAAACGAGTGATCCGAGGAAAAAATGTTTCAAATAAGAAGTTAATATCTGGGAGAGGGGAATTAACTCGTCTCAGAAAAACAACGCTTACTTCGCCTTTATAGGCTAGGAAGGGGCTAACTTGACAATTTTGAATGGTAGCCACACCATTTTATTGGAGATTCGAATTTTATTGAAACGCTGAAAATTTTTGTGTGATGAATGGCATTTGTTAATGTTAAAGGCATTTTCGGTCCGAAAATTGATTGATGAATAAAATCAAATTTGTCCCTCCAAATCAACAAAACATCTATTTATTGGTAATTGAAGGATCACAGGGTCTCAAAATCTCAAAATCGGAGAAAATGTTTGAGATAAATTAGTTTAACTGTTTGACGTACTACTCGAATCTCCACTAAAATGCGGTGGTTACCCTGCCTAGCCTGCAAGGTCGAAGTGGGAGTCGGTTTTCTGACACAAATCCGCCCCCCCCCCCCTAGACATTAACTTCTTATTGACATTTTTTCGTACGACCACTCGTTTTTGACCACAACTTTTAAGAGTTTCTTTTATATTAGATAATGGATTCCTGAAATATATTTTAACGCTTGAATATTCTTTCCATTTCAAGTAAATTTTAAAGAGAGAACCGCTATAATCACAGAATGGATATTTTTCAAATGTCGATCTCCTTTTATAATATTAGTGCATCATGTCATATTCCGTTCGAATATTTGATAATCTGGTAAATGGCGAATTAAATTTTACGACGAATATATTCACATGCTCCAGCTACATTTTGGCGTCAGATTTTCTCCGTCGCAGTTTTCCGCATTTTCCGTCTGATCTCCATAATTCTTCATAACGGCAGCTGCTACTCGGAAAATATATTTTGTATTAGGCTA